TATTTGACCTAGCTAGAAAGTGTACAAACACTTAAGTCCTGATCTGGGGGAACAGTTTCACCCTGAAGTGAATGCAAAGCATTTCAGGCTGCCACACATTTAATATTATATAACCTGAGTACAGATTTGCATGTAATAGTGTAGAAATGCTGGCTTAATATTGTAGACTTGTATCTGTGTTAAGAAAAATTGACTGTTTCTAGACTTTTATAATGATTTACAGCCTCCTTTTAATTTTTATATTTATCCTTGTAACTGTAAGGTTGTTTTTTCTTTAATGTTACAACTACAAATAGGTAAGCAGCGCCCAGGGAGTACTGAGAACAGTTATTCTTAGCATTTTTTTTAAATTATAAAAATAGATATTTAAAGTAATAATGTCTTTGATATTAATTTTAGATTTGCTATAAATATAAGTGTTTTAAAAATATATATATTTATTTCTGTAAAAATTTAGAATTACACCTTGAAGATAAGAGATAAAGATGTCTGATCCTGACTTCTCTTTTTCACAGTTCCTTGCAGAGTAGATTTGATTCTTTTATCCCTTAGTTGGTTTATTTAGGTCATGTAATTCTTATCTAGATTCTTCCATTTGGGGATTATGCATTGAGATAGACTTAGAAAAAAACTGCACATGGGTCCTAGTTAAAAGTCAAGATAACACATAGAGCAGGGTATTTTTTGTTTATTTAGGCAGAGCAGAGTAATTGCTTTTTGTTCCATACACAGCAGTGCTATCAGTGCAGTTCACAATGAACAGTTACACTTTTGTGGCAGTACAACATTGTTGACCCCAATATTAGAGAGCTGCTATAATCTCTTTTTCCATTGCTGCTGCTTATTTTGCTGCACTTGATGTCAATTTTGGAGTATATTACTTTCTGCTTTATTAAATATCATTGTTGATTTTGGGACCTCCTCCTAATCAGCTAAGGTCAGAATTCAAAATTATCTTGACCTTCTAAATTCTTGCCTCTCATCTTTGCTTGTTTTTGTGTGCTCATTTTGTAAGCATAATCCACTCATTTTACCAGGTTGCCAATGGAAATACTATTATCCTGGGAATTAAATAGGAATTATTTATAGGATCAGGGAAACTGATCTACATGTTTCATTATCATCCTTCAAAACATTAATTACAATTGTATTTGAAACCCCCTTTAAACCAAAGCTTGTGGCAAGTGGCCACAGCTTTCTGCACGGTAAGTAGGGCAGAGGCTGTGCTCCTGCCCCACTGAAGTGTGTCCCATGGCACCATCTCTGGACAAGAGTTGAGAAAAGCCTGATAAAGAATTAACCAAATTGAATTGCATTCATTTGGGACTGAAATCTGCCTTTCATTCAGTGTTATGTCAATGAGGCAGGATTAATAGGAACTGTTAATTTGTCAATTATCTCAATGCAGTTTCCTCTTGCACAATGAATATAGGAGAGAAACTTGGATGATGACCACTCTGTCTGACACATGAATGCATAAAGGACTCAGTCTTGGTGTGTTAGAAACTTTACAACATCTACCAAAATTTGATGATAATTTGCTTAGAAGGATTGTAGGCTTGTAATTTTCCTAAAAAAGTGGTTATAAATTTCCTTCAGGAAGGACTTAGCAGGATTCCCTCAAGAGACACAGGTTACTTTTGAAAGCAAGCATCTGCTGGTCTACTTATTGAAACTAGTTTTGGTATGAACAAAAATACATGCAGTAGCTCTGTGGAGTTATCTATTAATTTTTTTTGTATTTTTGTTGAGTATGTCATAGCACTCAAGTGGAGCAGAATGGGGGAAAGCCCATTGTTTTTCTCTTCCTTTTTTTTTTTTTTTTTACTTGTAAGCTACTGTTTTCTATGCCTTATGGAGAGCATTTTAGACTATCTTGGGGATTATGATACACAAGGATACGGAAAAAAAGCAACCAGTAACCTCAGCTCAGAGCTGTCTTTCCATATATCCTCTCCCTAGTAGTTTGTATTCAGCATAAATAATTTTTTTCTGCATGGATGGATGTGCAACTCCGTGCAGGGAACTGGACAATGGCATGGCCAGCACTCAAGAAGGATTTATAACCTCTAATTTCTTGTCTCCTCCTGTTCAGGTTCTTTTGTGGATAACTTTTTGAGGCACTGCTGCACAAGAGAATTTTTTGGTTTTTCTGCTGTCCAAGCTGTAGACCTTGACTGAAAAACTGCCTTAGTCCTGTGCTAAGAAAACAGTCTGAAGGAAAAGAAAATCCATATTTAAATCACGTAATAGTTCCCAAACCCAGCCATTTTACACTGCAACTTGAAGATGTTGATGTTGTCTGTTGCCTGTTCTGTGGTGTTTTCCTTGGCCCGTGCATCTCTGTGGGGTTCTGCTGTAGTCGTGGGGACTCTGCTGTCAGCCCTGCTGTGGGCTGCACATCCTGCCTCAGGCTCTAATTAGTGGTACAGGGGAGCCTTTTGGTACTGCCTGACACAGAATGGTGCAGTAATAAATGATTATCTGTATTGCTTGGCACTCACAAGTCAGGAGGATACTTAGGTTCTAATTCTGCTGCCTCTGCTTGATGGAATGTTACATCAAAGAGAAAAATAGTGTTTGGGTTATTTTGGCCCATTTCTAAAGCAATCAAAGGAATGTTGTTGGTACTGCTTTTGTGCATCTGAGCTTGCTCAAGCTTAGTTGTGATCCTGTGTTCTTTGTTTTTAAATGATCCTAAAATTTGCACTATTAAAAGTTCCACACAAATTTTCTAATCAGTTCTCCAATTTTTTTGTAATGTCTGATACTGAACATGTGGAGTAATGGTCCCTAAGCATTTATAAGGGTTCACAGCTTATCATGTTTTATTCCTATTCTATCTTGAAATACTTCAAAAAAACAATCAAGATAATAAGTGTAGAAAAGGGCTTGATGTCCATAAATTATTTTCCTGCTGCTGGAAAGTGCTGTGCAACTCTTGTCTGTACTGTAGCACTACTGTATTATTTGGTAAATCAAACCTCATGATTTTTCAGTATGCTGTAATTTAGGAAAAGAATCCCTACATTTTTGAAATTCCTTTCAGGTTGAGGCATAGCATACTCATTTTTCCTTTTTCTAAATCAAAATGCATTCCACACTTAAATAATGCATGTTCTTATTTGTTGATTGCAACAAATAATGATCCCTGAGACAGGTGAAAGGGGATATTGGGATAAAAGCAGTCAGTGTGATCATGTGATTGTTTCGCTTAGACTGTTCTTTCTGGTTTTGTTCATATTTTGTTTTCATGCTTTGAATTCATGATGTGTTTTTGTTCAGAGTAAAACAAAGAAAGAAACTTCTTTTTTTCAGTGCAGACTTAAAACAAGCTTGTAGCTGTTCAAAGTACAGGCGGTGTTTATTGTAACATTGATATATTTCTGGGTGTCTGGAAGAAGAGGCCTAAAATAACTCTTTTCACAGACTTTGAAATGAAATTAGTTTTTCTGCCCCGACAGATTTTTTTTCCTTTTTACAAGACAGATAAATACTAGCTTTCACTGAAGGAAGATATTATATGAGGATATATGTGTGGCTACAGCTGAATGGATAAATTATGGTCTGTAACATGTGTGAGATTTCCTTTACAGTGCCACGTTAGCACTCAAAAACATTTGTCTGCTTTTAAATTTAGGTGATAAGTATTTTGAAATTCTAATAGAATGGAAATAAATATTTCTGTATTTGCAGGGTTTTTTCCTGCTTATTTCTCTCCTGACCATTTTGTTGTAAACTTAAAGGGATAGAGCAAAATGACTGAGTCTTTGGCAAAGACACAAATCACTGACTTGAAGATACTGAAATAAGAGAAGGCAAAAGGTTTTCTGCAGAATACCAATTTTTTCTCCCTAGTGTAGGCCACAAGAACTATGTGGGTGTTTTGGTGCTTGTCATCAAATAATTTGTATTTCTAATGACAGCAATTTTTGTTATAATTTCTAAGGGAATGTTTTTGATGGTTTTCAAAGTCATGGCATAGGACTGCAGAGGGTTAGGGATGCTGCAGCTTTTGTGATGGGGGTCTGGGACAGCTGCTTGGATTAGAGTGAGAGCTGATGGCGTGTTTGCACATGTGGCCTTAGTGTAGCTGATTCCCCGATTCAGGGATCTTGTTGGAAGTCGAGCTGGATGTGCGGGCTCAGTGCAGCATGGGCACACCAGGGCTGAGCCTGAGCACGGAGCAGAGCCAGGGGCAGCTCTGGCTCTGTGGATGGAGGGCAGGTTTGGTATGGCCTCTGGACCCTGCAGTGCAGGAGGAGGAGGAGGTGGGAGCTTTTGTTCAGAGCCTCTGGAGTTTGTGGCCCACTTTGACTCTGTGTGGTGACATGCTCTTATCAAGAAGCCTGTGGATGCTTAGGCACTGTTTGCTTAGAGTGGTTTTCAGTTTGTTCTGAAATAATTGGAGTAGTAGGGTTGGTGCTTCTGTCATCGTTGACCATAATGTTATTTCTCTGCCTGTATCTTTGAGTGACAAATGTGTTGTTACATTTCTGTAATGCAGAGATTAAAGTGTTGACCTTCTTCAATTCCACTGAATGCAGCTTTTGTAGTATCCTAGAGACCAAAATGCTTAAATCTTTTCTCTCCAAAGCACAGTTTGCTATGCTGTTTGCCAAATAGACACTTGCACCCAGAAGCAGGTAGGCTTTTGAAGGAGTGCAGGTGGAGTTGTTGACTTTTACCACATAGCTTTAGGAAACTAAAGACTGCTTAGCTAGAGCTCTGATAAGTACTTAGGTCACAAATTGAAGGACTGAAAGTTAAACTGAATTTATAGGGGATTAGATGAAATTAGTGTTTTTTCAGAACACTTGTTTTGTGGAGAGACAAATGAAACCAAGACATCAGAAATCCATCTTAAATCTTCCCTTAACTATGAGTGTTAAGAAATAGGTATTCAGAACAATCATCATTAATTATAATGACTATTGGGGTTTTCTGCTCATCACAAAAATGCTTTTTTGGCTGTAATTATGGTGAAGTAGTTTTGAGTTTTGTTTTTTTTTTTTTTGTTTGTTTCCCATAGGTGGCTGCTGCTTTAATGCCATAGTGTCATTAGCTTGCTGAACACTAAACATGAGAATAGCAGGTAAGTATGCTCTGTAAAATCAGACTTTGGTCATTTATGAAACAACTGCTATGGACAACATCAACAAGTTGTGACAATAAGGTTTTAAAGTTATAGAGTTATAGAATACCATGTTAAAAGGGATCTCAAGGTATGTCTGGTCTGACATTTCTTGTCAGAAGCATGGTCTAGACAAGATGTCATGTGAAAAGTGGTGATTTCCTCAAACCTTTAGTGTTTGATTAGTCTGTCAGCACACCAGGAAAGGTGAGACCCTTGTGCCTGACTAATCTGTGTCCTGTTATAGGGACCCTTCAATGATATTCCTTTTCATTTGGGTGGATCTTGAGTGACTCTGGTAATGCATACTTTTGTTACTCATTGGTGTAAAATTCTCTTGCTTCACTGTTAGAGATATAATCAATAAAAATATAGAGCTCATGCTCAATGAGGGATGGTCATATATTGAAGGCAGGTAGCTTTGGAATGATGTTGTGAGTTAATATTACAATTAAGTTACAAAGAACCTCAGAAGAGTGATTTCACTACAGTTGCTGGTTTAGCAGAAAGATACCTGCTCCTATCTCCCTTGGCTGACAGGTGCTGTGCAGGTTTATCAGCTACCAAATACCATCTGATTTCAACAGAGGCTGACCAAGGTGTTTCTACTCTGCTTCACCTGTTAGCACATGCTTGAGGTTGCAGATTGTGTATGTATGGAATTGTTGTGGGATAGGTTTTGAGCATACTCACAGCATTCCATCCAGGAAGTAGCAGCTGTATTTTGCCCTATAATTTTCATACTGCTATAACTTCCTCTAATTTGAGCCCTAGCCCAGCACTGTACAGCCAGATTTTAAATTGGCCAGTGCTGGGGAATCCACCACTTCCTGAGGAGATTATTCCAATGGCCGATTGTTCACATTGTGACAAATTTTCAGTGTCTAACTGGAATCTTCCTCACAATAACTTGTACCCACTATCCCTCTTGTTTTTCATGTGATTCCTTGCAAAAAGGGAGTCTCCCTCCATCTTTTTTGTAGCCACCCTTGAAATACTGGAACATGGTACTAAATTCTCCTGTAAGTCTTTTCTCAAGGCTGAGCAAACCCAGCAGTCTCAGCCTTTCCTTATCTAGCAGGCTTCCCAGTCCTTTGATTATCTTTGTGTTGGACTGCCTCTAGATTGTCCACATCTTTGTCTTTTTTCTTTTTTTTTAATAGCAAGGTCCAACACTGAAGGGGGTGTAACAAGTGCTGCGCAGAGAGGAATAATGACTTTATTTCTGTCTTCTGGTGACACCCCTGTTGATGCAGCCCAGCATCCTCTTGGCTTCTTTGCCAGCACCCTCCATTTGTATTGAGTTGGTTGTCTGCCATAATCCCCTAGTCCTTTTCCACAGCTGGGTAGCTTCCAGTCTGTTCTTTACTCCTGGATTATGATTTCTGTGGTGGAAGACTTTACACTTGTACTTGCGGAACTTCTCTGGTAGTGTTAGCCCATTCTTCCAGCCTATCCAGGTGTTCCTGCAGGTTGGCTTTCCATTTGGACATGCCTCCTTCCACTCAGTTTGTTATCCTCATCAGACTTTGTCAGGGGACACTTCACTTGGCTGGCATAACAGGCATTGCTGTTCTACTTTATTGGTGTTTAATGAAACTTTGGAACTGGGATGGTGGAAGAGCAATCACCTTGTTAAAATGCTGTAGCTGATCTGCAGTGACTGCTTAAGCTGCCATGACGTGACATATTTTGGCTGCTGTTTCTGTGAGATGATGAAGAAATAAGGAAATGGCAAATGGTTGTCTTAAGCCACTTCCCCACCTTCCCAAAATTGCTATGTGCTGTTTTAAGTGTCTGAAACTTTCTGAAGAGTTGCTGGGAGTTTGAAAACTCTAAAGAGCCTTTTCATAGAGTTAAGTTACTGTAGTACAGGCTTTAAGAAACTCATTCTACTTGACAGAAGGGATAGTGGTTGTAAAAATAAGACATTTGCTAATATAAAATTGAAAGAAAACGTTTTTTGACATTTTGTCACAGTAGAATAGCCTGTGTAGCAATGGAATAAATCTGAGTTTCTGGTGCATTGCACTTTTATCAGTAGTTACAGTGTTATTTTGCAGAAGGAGAAACTGTTGCCTCTACTAGAAGAAAATGGCACCTTTTCCAAGATCTTGTTAATGCATACAATTTTTGTCACTACTCCTAATTTTGCTTTATTAACCACAATATGTATAACTGGAAGCAGTCTGCTAAAGTGAATCTGATAAAGAACTGGAAAATGCTCCAATTTTTGGGTACCTGATTCATCTGGAAAATTACTTTCCACACATGTTGAAGTTTTTTTTTTTTCTCTTCCATCCAGCAATTTTTTTTGCTAAAACTGCAAAGTAGATGTGACAATTCCTACATGATATTTCACCTGTATCAAACATGCCAGTTTTGGTTCAAATGCTTAAGGAACCTAGGAGATTTCTTACTGTTCCTTTGAAGGGAGCACTTGCAGTTCAGTTGAAAAGCTCAGAATACAGGGTAGGGGGGATGGTTGGTCCTCAGACTGAGTTCTTGTTCATCTCACATGCTATATACTAAAACATGCTCTCCAAATGCCTCTTGCTAGATGACACATTCCAAAATCTGGTACCATCTTGTGGCTTTAAGCAGTGTTGCTTGAAAAACTTTACCCCATTTCTTAACATATGTTCTGCTCATCTGTTTCTCCTGTGCTTGCACAGGTTTTCCTTCCTTTCAAGTGCAGTGATCTTTGGAATTCCAGCATAATATTTTTAAGCTAGGTTTGCACCTTTGTTTTCTTACATCATAATGTGTACTCTCACACACAAAAAAGATCAAACTACAAGCAAAAAACCCTTGTATCTTTCTTCATCTTGCTTTTCTTTTTCTATCCACTTATCTTTTTTCAGCCTTTTGGGAGGATTGATTAGCATCTCTCATCCTTCTCACGACTGAGTAATCTGTCTATTTTAAGATTTTCTGAGCAGCCCGTCACAGCAGCAGTCTGAGATCTGCAGGAGTATATAAGTTTGGCTTTTTCTAGAGTATTTGGCTGGCATCTGAGAAAAAGAAGCCTGCTTTAAGGTTGATTCTTCCAACCAGTTTGATATACTGTGGTGAGATAGGAAGGCAGGATGTTGATCAGATGCCTCCTCACCTGAATTGTACTCTTCAGTGTTTTTAGTCAGTATTTTACAGTCAGTTAAGAGTGGAGTATTCTGTAAAAATGTACTGCAAATTATGCTAAAAATGGTGAGGTTTGTGGCTGTATCACATTTCCATTTCAGATGTAAGCTGCTGTGGTTGTGTGTACAGCTCTCCTCCCAGGAAGTAGTTTGGCCGCTCAGCACTGCCAGAACTTAGCCCTGTAAAACCTAGAACTGCCTATTTCAGTATCTTAAAAGGGAGACAGGAGAGGTATTGCTTTTTCTTACTTATTTTAAAATAGGCTTTGAGTCATCAAACTTGCTTTCTGAAGGTCATTAATGTACATTTCTTGAAAAGTAAATTAGAATGGTTGTTTCTGGTTGGCTAATGGTTTGGGGGTTTTTTGTTGTTTTTTGTTTTGGTTTTTTGGGTTTTTTTTTTTGTTGGTTGGTTGGGTTTTTTTAATGTCACACTCAGAGCTGACTGACCATAGTAGCCAAGCTGCAGTACATAAACAGATCCCTAATCACTCAGTCTGGGCCATATATTAAAACAGAGGTAGCTCCATTTGAGAGCAGGGGGAAACACAGTATTTGTGAACAGTGAGGAACCAGGTACTCATGGCTAAGAACATGCAAGTGGAATGGGGAAGATGGGAATTTTGCCTTCAGACAACAGCCAGGTAGATCGTCTTAGTTCATTTGGTGAAGCTGGATTTTCATGGAAGTCTGGTTTCTCCTGGCTGCTGAGCTGAGTTGGTGTACTAAAGTGTCAGAGAAAGCATGAAGGTAGAGAGCGTTAAAACCAGAGTGCATTGCATAACCTGGTGGATTGGTGCAGTTACATCCTACATTCCTACATTATAATATCCATCCATAATATCCATCCTGTTTAGTAGGTCCACAAATGATCATCCTGTTTCCGAGTTCCCCAGAGTAGAATCTAATACACATTTCTCATGTTGCTAATTTTGGTAAACTAGTGTTACCACTTGCAGATAATTTTTTGAAACATTTTCTGTTTCTTAACAGGTGCTGCAAAGTTGGTAGTAGTCATAGCAATATTTTTATTGACATTTTATGTCATATCACAAGTGTTTGAAATAAAAATGGATGCAAACTTAGGACACATATTTGGTAAGTGATGACTTTGTTTTCTCTGGATATTTATTAATATTTACTTGAGCCTTTATCAAGAATATCATGTTAGTTTTGCCTGAGCTCTTCAATTTAATAATTGAGTTTATCTTTAGTATGTGTGCTTATTTTTTTACATATAATATATGTATTGAATTATTTTCTGTATGAAATAATAATAATTTTGATTCTTTTGTCTGCCAAGGATACAGAATTTTACCTGCTTTTTTTTGTTTGTTTTGTTTACTGGAAATGCATTCTTAGTGTAGAGTAATAAATTAGGCAACTTGAATCGTGTTTCTAGAAATCTGTGCTCTGCCTTACTACTGCTAAAGAGATTTAGAACTTGTTTTGGAGGGTTTTTTTCTCTTGTGTGGGTATGCTGCTGTGTTAGGTTGAATGTGCAGTAATCAAAACATTTCAGATGTGCTACGCAGATAAAGATTAGAAGTTGAGATATCTCAAATTTCAGAGTCTATTTTGAACCAGAATTTTCTTTCAAGGTGTTTTTTATTACCAAAAAAACCCTAAACAATGTTTGATACATGGGTGGAGTTTGTGTTCTTTAACTCTGCATTACTGCAGCATGAGCTGCCATCTGAAGCAGTCAGCAGAGACATCTCTAGTAATCATTGCTGAGACAGAGGTGTCATTCAGGTGTCATTCAGATGTGTGTGTGGTGGGGTACTCGTGTCTCTTTATATCTCAGGAAAGGGAGTCCTGAATGGCTGGGTTGAAATACACCTGAAATACACCTGAACTGCAGGCTTCCGGTTAAGTGAAAACAGCCCCACAGTGAAATTGTAAGGAAGGAATTGATTTCACTTCAATCCCCTGAGCTCCATGAATTCTCAGAGGTTTTGAATCTCTGGGTTTTTGACTCCACAACTCTCTGAGAGCCATAAATGAAAGCGGTGCTTCTGAATGAGATTCTTAATCACTTTCATTCTGCTAATGCACAAAAGTTGTTTTTTATTGCAGCATAATATTCAGGTGGATTTGATACTTCATTTCAACCAGCCTGTTTTTCTGGGGTACAGAAAGACATTACATATATAGGATATGATATAGCAGATGACACTTTAATAGTAACATCTTGTAAAATTTTCTTTTTTCTTTTTAGCTAGATCAGCGTTGGATGCAGCTGCACGCTGTGAGTATTCATAGGCCTGTATTACTGCTGTGCCTTGCTTTTGCTAATAACGGAAAGACTGATGAATTTTCACAGTTCAGAAAGTCTTAATTACGCTTCAAATGCAATCAGAAACTAATTTTCCTCTTCTCCTGATTTTCCTAAATTTCTGGTAAAGTCTGTTTTGTAGTTTTGGCTTGTGGCTTTTGATGATGGTGCCAGAGCAAGCGGCAGGGTGACAACAAGTAGTTGGAATAATGAGATGCTTCAGGAACTTAGATTATTTTAAACTGCTCTGTTACTACAGATGTGATAGTGTTTGTGTTTGCTCTCTTCCTGGAGTTCCTTCAGAATGTATTTGTCTGTTGGCCTACGTGTGGTGTTTCTCTAAAATCTTGGTTTATTTCCTTTTGAAAGCTACAAAACCTCCAAGATACAAGTGTGGGATCTCCAAAGCTTGTCCTGAAAAGCATTTTGCATTCAAAATGTCAAGTGGAGCAGCAAATGTAGTTGGACCTAAAATTTGTGTAGAGGATAATGTGTAAGTATTTTTGCCTGTTGTTTCTAAGTGTCTCTTTCAAATACTTAGATCACTTGCACACAAAATCAGCAGTTTAAATTAGGGGTTTTTTTGCAAACAGTATGCAAACTAACACATGTCAAAGTTTGTGACATGAAAAGGTCACATTGCATTATAACCTTATCTCTGATGAAGCACTTAATGCTCTGCAGTAAATGCAGAAGTGTCTGTTGTTTTAACACGTGCAAGGTAGCTTGCACTTTGTTTCAGGTTTATAGACTTAAGGGTTGGTTAGACTTTGTCAAGTCAGATGCACACTTGTCTCTAAGGAACTTGTCCTGGTGCTTCTGATAGCAATTCAGTGAATAATTGTATTGTCTTTTGCAAGTAATCTTAAACCATATTTCCTCAGTACCAATGTCAGAACATATTTTCTACTTTTCTTCTAAGGTTGTCTTCAAAAGGGAAAAATAGTATTTTAATGATTGATAGTTATTTAACTGTGCTGATGGTAGCTAAAGTTAATAAACTTTATCCATTTGTGAAATGAGGAAAACAACTGCTTGAGACAAAGTTTTGTTTTAAGTCCTCTTTTTAATAATGTTTTTGACACAGTATTATCAGTAATACTGTGCATAAAGTATTTAACTGAGTACTTTTCAGTAAACCCCCATAATGGGAATATTAATATTTATTTTTAGACTGTGTTTTTCCTCTTTGGGTGATAATGAGCAGGAACAACCTGAGTGTGCAGCTTCCTATAACATAATCTAATCCACTTGATTTTGCAGGTGGCATGTCAGAAGAGACATAATGTTAGTGTTGTTGGAAGGAGATTTTTTTAAATATCAGCCACACTTAACACTTTTGCTTTCCACTTGCTACTCCAGTTTAGCTGTTTCTCAGCTCACACTATATTAGTACAGATAGCACATACAGCAGCTGGTGCTAATGAATTCTAGAGCCAATGGCAGCTTCTCTGTGAACAGCAGAACCCCACATAATAGAGTAACTAGCATAACACATGTATTAAAATCACTTTACTCTCCAAAGTAACTGTAAGGCTAGTCTCAAGTGATCTTAAGAGAAGACTATTTTTAGCATGAAGTAGCATTCTTGTGTAAGGCTGGCTTAGCTCAAGCTTGCTGGCTGGTGTGAGTCAGTTTGCAGCAGAGCATCCAGGGTAGCTGGGGAGCTGCAGGTGCTCAGCAGGGGCTCACCTGGGCACCCACAGGCTACAGGCTGCTCCTTCCCTTTCCACTCTTACTGGTGACTTGCTGGGTGACCTTGGGCAGGCTGATCTAATCTCAGCCTGGTATTTCTGCTGGTGTTACAAAACATGCTACTGTCTCATTCTGGTTGCTTAATATAGGGAGCTTAATATCTGTGAACACTTAAGCTGATTCAACAATTAAAAGTTGTGGGAATGCAAGTAATATTTTAATTTCAGGATTGTAGGGTTGTTTTGTTTGGGATTTTTGACTCTTTTGTTTTAATGTCTTGCTGACTGTTTAAACAAGAAGAGGTTTTTCTATTTCTGTCCAAAAAAAGAAAAATCCTCTACTAGATCTTTTTCTGAAGAAAGTGATGAAAAAAAAGTAATTGCTGGAAAAAGTCCTCTAAGTGGGCACTTCAATACACAGCCATTGGATTCTAAAGTCCAGCTTTCCTTGGCAAACATCTTTCTGAATTCCTTCAGAGGGCAACTGGTCATGTCTGTCGGTATCCACCAAGAAATTTGATTGATTTTAGATATCTCCTGCATTGCTCATAAGAGGTTTTATTTCTTTTTCAAAAGCTCTCAATTTGCAGACTAAATTCGTGGAAGAATTCTAAAACTAATGAAGGGCTGCCCTCCTGTGAGAAGCTGTTGCATTGCAGCCTCTTGTGTTTGTGATGATGCACAAGCTGTCTCAAGGGTATAAAGGAATATATCAGAGCTCTGAAAAAAACTCATTTCCTCTTGAGTAGCTTTTTTTTAGGGATATTCTGTGAACTCACAGTTGCAAAAAGGTTTTTCTTTTTCTGATTATTTTGTGTTCTTCATACTTCCCAGACAGGACAGCAGGATTGAGTTTTCATTATTTGTTAGCTTTTAAACTCATTAACTCATTTTTGTTCATTGTGTGCTTGCAAAAAAAAACCCAACCTTAAAATGTTGGTTATGTGCCTGTGATGAGCTCCACAAATTAATATTTGGTTATTTTTTAAAACATTAATAATATAACTACAGAAACATCGCTATTTTTGTGGCACTTTTAATATACACACGTACTTTGAAACCATGATTAAGCAATCGAATTAAATCAATACAGCTGGGGGTACTTGATGTATTATTCTTAATTTAGTGCTGCTTTAAGAACACAGATTAGTTCAAGGAGATTTTGCTTCAGTTAAGTACTCATGAACATGTGGTCTTTTAACTATGTCTCTCTTAGAACTTGATCCTATTTAAAAAACAGAAATATTTCACATCAGAAGATTGCTTGATTAAAAGTATTTATTTTGTTGCAGTTTAATGAGTGGAGTAAAAAATAATGTTGGCAGAGGAATAAATATGGCCTTGGTCAATGGTAAGTGACATTTTAAGTGGGCAGATTGTCTTCATTTGAAAATTGTTTCTGAAATTTAAGGTGAAATACTATGGGATGGTGAAAGGCAAGCACCAAGGAGAAAAGGAAGTACTCAGCTTATTTGTACTGAGATAATGTCAGATATTGGCACTGACACCTTGTTGCTACAAAGCAGAAAAACTTGGTGCATTTTTGTTTCTAAAAATGGATTGTAAAAATAGTAATGTGGAATGTGGTGCTGACTGTCTTTTTGATACATCATGTAAATTCCTAATGCAAAAATAGAAAAAGACATGAGATGCATGCTACTTCTTTTGACCTTGTGTATTGCCACCACTAATTATACTGTAGAATGCATTCTTCTGATGCTCTGTTTTCAGTGAAACTTCTTTAGCATCTTTAACAGTTTTGTTACTACACACAAAGACCAGTTCATTATTTCCTCACTTGAATCAGTATATTTGGTCTATGGACTTTGTCCATAAATGCATCCTGTTAAGTAATTGTGTTTTGGGTTTGTAATTTTCATTAAAACCAAACAAGTTTAGCTGTGTTACCTTGAAAGCTGGACTGAATGTCAGCACTGGTACATTTGTCTTTAATGTGTAGGAAACGTTTCCTTATAGCACTGAGATAGCACTTTGTCATTTCACTGCAATATGAATTATTTGCAGATTGCACTCAGATTTACACCATCTAAAGCATAATTTGAACAATACTTCCTAATCCTGTGTTGCTTTCCTGAATTGTCTCGATCTATTCAAAACCAAAATACCTATGTTTGTATTTTATAGCTCCAGTCTTTCTCTCTGTCTTCCAAACTTTAAATGAATGTATATATTAAAAAAAACTCCACCTTCCATCAAATACTCCTTTGTAGACAGCATAATAAGAAAAGGTAATGAGATATACTATATTGTCTGCTTTTTTCTATTTATTCTGGATGTTTAAATCTAATTACAGTAGTAAGTCTATAACAAAACATGGAGTCTAATTTTAATCCTTGTAACTTTCCATATGGCACAAAAGGCAGCCTATAGCTATCAGTATATCTATTTTTGCAAAACCAGCTTTAAAAAAAGGCAGATATATCAACTGCATATTCTCTGTTGGTTTTAGAGCCTGTGGGTGTTTTCATTTATTTTAGATTCCACTTGAAGCAAATCAGAATTTTGCCTAGAATCATAGAATGGTCTGTGCTTGAAGGGACCTTTAAGATCACCCAGCTCCAACCCCCTGCCATGGGCAGGGACACCTTGCACTGGACCAGGTTGCTTAAAGCCCTAACCAGCCTGGCCTCCAACTTTTCCATGGATCTTCTCACGTTTTTCCTTTTATCTTTCCCTGCACTTTTTCACAAACCACTGCACTGTTTCCATAAAAGAGATGCTACCATAATTCATTTATCCAGTGTCTTTTGCAGCACTTTGTCTGAAAGAGCATAAGAGGAGTTGGGCATGTTATCTGAAAAATAATTTTGGCTATATTTGATGGCATCAAATGTTTCTTTTTCTCTTTTCCTTCAGGTAAAACAGGAGAATTATTAGATACTAAGTTCTTTGACATGTGGGGAGGAGGTAGGTGCAATTACACTGGTCAGAGAGAAACAACAAATGTGCTTTTTTTCTTCCTTCTTGTCCAGACTCCATTTGCTGTGTGTTTTAAGGTGATAGTTAAGGGAATGCTTCACCTCTACCTTTATAATTGTGAGGAGAGTGCAACTTTAAAGAAACATAAGTAGTTGAGGTGGGACGGAAGGGTGTGGTTAATCAAACAGACTTGTTCCCCAAGGTAGTTCTCATTAGTGGTTATGTTTTTACACAATAAGGATTAAACTCTTTCTATAAAATAGGAGTTCTCAGATGCATTTTAGCTTTCTCTCAGTCTGCATCTTTTTATAAGGACATATTTACAAATTTTATATATATTCTATATATAAATATTATATATATTATCTTTACAAATATTCTTAAAAGTAATGCCTTTGCTGAAAGACATTGCAGATGTTTAAATTTGTAATCTTGGTTGCTTATTATTAAACAGTTTTATGTTCTCTCTTCAGATGTGGCACCACTTATTGAATTTCTGAAGACCATCCAGGATGGAACAATTGTGTTAATGGCAACATATGATGATGGTGCAACCAAGTATGTAATTGATTTTAAACAGCAAATGTTGCTTAAACTTTTATATGCTGTTTTATACTGAAAAATTGCATTATCACACAACCACTTTTAATAAGATTTTGTCCTTCCAAGATGACAGATTTGAAACTGCTTATTAGTTTTATAATGCAGATATGGTTTGGGCACAACTAAAACTAAGTAGATGTAGGTGTGCTGATTTTTCTATTGCTGTTGGCTCATTCTGTCTTAGGCTAGTAAATTCAGATAGATCCAGACATAGGAACATGATTATGAGAGCATACTTTGGTTGAAAGGGTCTGTTCCATCCAGCACTTTCTTCAGATCAACTCCAAGGCAGAGTTTGGTGGTTACAGGATGGCAGAGACCTTTCCCAACAAGCCTTGCCTGTATCCTTACATTTAAAGTTACTAATGTGAGCCTTGTATTTTTTGGCCTGAGTGTTTTACTGTTTCACCCTAAAGCTACTCAATTTATTAATCTAGATGTAGCCTAAGAGGGTTTAGGTCTCCTGAAAAATTGTCTTCCAGCTTTCACAACTTGGGTCAGTTTCAATAGATACTAAAATTTACTGTTGAATATGCCCTACAATCTACTCCTCACTTAAGTCATCCTATCCAAAGGATTGCTTTTCACAGTGAAAATGGAAACTTCTTTCCTTTTCCTCTGTTGTTTTGCTAATAATTAACTTTTTTGTTAATGTAGTCTGTACGTTTTTTTTCCTTGTTTGTTTCAATTAGTTGTCTACAACTTGTCTGTATTTTTGATATAGAAGCAGCTTCCCTAAGTTCTGACTTGCAGTGTGCAGTCTTTACAGTAAATGGTCCAGTGTGTTTACATTCACTGCTTTTAGGAAAGGAGAAAGTCATTTACTGGGGCAATAGCTAAAGTTGGATCTTCTCTCTGTTGTTCTGTTCACTTGTTTTGTTACTTTATATTTTACCTTTTCCCCTTTCTTCTTTGATATTTTATATAATAAGAAGGGTTAGTTTTGCTTCAGTAAGCATTTACAGCTGATGATTTTGAAAGTTTGTTTGCAGATAGAATACAGCTAAACAAGAAGTTGTGTTTGGCCTTGTCTTGCTGACAGACAGGATCTACTGCTTTCTGACCATACTGCAACTACCAACTGGTAGTTGATAGTAAATATTAATGCCAGTTCTTGGAAACAAAATTGTGAAGAATCAAGCTGCCCTAATGCTTGAGAAAGTTGGCGTGTGGATTGGGCAAATAACCTACACAGTATTTAATAATTTTCATAATTTTGACTAAAGTGAGTCATACAGCCATATCTCAATAGGTAGAAGTAATCAGAAGTTTTGTGTCTTGTTTAGTAATCAGGCACATTTAGTAAGTTAAAGGAAGAAATGAAGAGCTGCTATTTGGAGATTTTGGAATTATATCTTATCCTACAAAGTTGTTTTCCTTTAGATGCTAAAATTATCCTACTGGAGTTTACAGGCACTGAGCCATGCTGGAGGCAGCATTCTGAATTTTGAATTAACTGCCCCAAGCAGATGAGAAGTTACTTCAGATATTAATTTCATTCTTGTAATCTAAAATAGCTTTTACTTCATCTAGACTTCAGCTTGAGCCTGCAAACAATGTTCACTTTAAAGGCTGACTTTTTTAGTTGCTTGGAGAACTGCTAACAGAACTTGAGATGTACAGATTCTCACAGGAGAGGGCTCTTGGCTTTTGTTGGTGTAGTGCTAGGTTTATATCCTGGTTCCTTGAGATTATAGTATGGAAGAGCAGCTCTCTTTGCATCAGGTGATTCCAGAACCAGCCTTACCTGATTCTGAGAGATAGATCTTGCCCAATATTGACTGACTTCAGGTAAATTAAATAGGATCAAAGCAGACTGGTGCACTGAGCAATGAAAGCTCTAAGGGCATGTATTTTATTCACATACTCTGGTTCACAAACTTCTCTGGTTTGTTCAAGGCTTAACGAGGAAGCACGGAGACTGATCGCTGAATTAGGGAGCACATCCATCACTAACCTTGGCTTCAGGGACAACTGGGTCTTCTGTGGTGGGAAAGGAATTAAGACTAAAAGTCCATTTGAACAGGTATGTGATTCTTTAACTTCCTGGAATTTAACAGCTGGCATTAATAGAGGCATAGCATGTTTTATAAGTGCCATGCATTTGTTCAAGGTGGGTATCTATTGCAGTACTTGCACACAGTCTTATTTTCAGGTATTTTCCTTTTCCTCCTTTTAAACATACAAAAAAAAGATTCTTTGGTGACTCATAAATAAGAAAAAAAATATATGATGTAGATCTTACTATTCCAGTAACTAGATAATTCATCTTTTTAGTGAATCAAATTAACCTGAAGAATTCAAAGGTTGCTGCCCAAGTTTTATTCTATTTTAGATGCACTAAGAATGGTGAACTTCCAAGAGATAAGTGGGTAGTTAAGGTGTTGGTGTTCCCAGCTGTTAGCTTTGCTCTTCTCTCAAATTGCTGCCATCACAAAATTTGTGAAATAGAATATATTCCCATACTTTAGCTGTTAAAATTCAACATGTGTCATTGTTGCCTTTAATTACTGGTAGAAGTAGCTTTGTACTAGCAGAGTAAGGATGTGTTTTCTTTTGCTAGCTTTGTAAGGGAGGGGAAACTAAGTGCAGAAACAGTGGCAGACTCTTGGAGGCAATAATGTCTTACCTGACTGTAGGTGGTTGTTTGGTGGACAAATAAAATGTTCTTTGAAATCTCACTATTTGTTTTCTTTGCCTTGTAAATTTAGTATCCTTGTTTATTTTTACCTAGTGGTTCATGCTTTAATGCAGTTGGTCATTTCCTTCCTTCCCTCTTCCTAAGCAAACATCTATAATAAAATTTGAAAATGTTTTCCCTGTGTGGCTTAACTTTTTACCATACACTTTTCTGGGCAAGGTACTTTAAATGATGAATACTTACAGATTGTTATGTTTGATTCAAAGCATGGAAGTTAATAATGTTTTTTCTTTGTCCATGGCCTGAAAATGAGTACATGTCTTAAAGGTATGAGTTAAAGCAAAAGGATAAATGACTTCACATTAACAGCAGATTGATATTTTCCATTTATAGCATATAAAAAATAACAAGGACACAAACAAGTATGAAGGCTGGCCAGAAGTTGTTGAGATGGAAGGCTGTATCCCTCAGAAGCAAGACTAAATCAAAACAGAAGAAAAGGAAAAAGAATATGGAAGACAATGCACTTTCTGCTATTATTAGAGAGAGGGCTATGAAGGAGACTGTACTGTAAAAATTATTTTTAAAGCATGCAGCCATCTTGTCAGTGTGTGCATGAGCACTGACATTTTGAATATTGGGATTATTTATTGCTGACACACATAGAAATTCTTTTTGTAAATATGTCCAAATAAAAGAAACATCAAATCATTTCTATGCAGGTTTCTTAAAAGCACAGTATTTAGTTTGCCTGTGGTAAATAATACTTGTAGATAACTGGCTAATAAATAATGTATGTGGACAATAAACAGATTGTGACAAATGTACTGTCCTCGTAACAGTGCAATGTTGCTGTGACTATGTAAACTTGGTGGAATATTGCAGATTTTAGTAATACATTAATAAGGAACTTTAATTTTTTTATCTTCTGCCTTTTTAATGGCATCATCAATTTTTATTAAAACTGTTTGGTTATTCTAATACCAAGTGCTCCAAAAGTTTATTTTGTAGTCCCGTATGAAATTTGAGTAATCAGCAAAGGAAAACTACGTGATAGTGTAAGACAGGTATGCCTTGAAAAGCACAAGAGAATTTTATTTTCTATCTTTAGGGGATGAACTAAAGTAAATATGTAAATAGTATGTGTGATTTTTAAAAGCAGCTTGGAAGCATTTGTACTTAACTTGAAAGTGTTTGCTTTATAGAAGGGACTGGCACATTAAGCAGCAGTACTGTGGCTAAATTTTTCATTTTTTATTGCAGCTTTTGTACTGCTGCTTAACCATTGTTTCTCCCTTCCTATGGCAGTTCAGCTGCAGTGGATGTGTATAATGGAGGAGCTTCCTCTTTTGGTTCTAACATCAGGAATAAATTTCCCATCACAAAGAGTTCCCATCACTGCCTTCTAGTGAGAGCTGTTTCAGGGTACACAGCTGTGCACCCTCACCACCTACAGTACTTCTCATGAGCTGAGGCAATCTCTTCTTCTGGAATGTCAGAGAGAGAGAGCAGTGTGTCTTGGGTTATGCAATGTGTGACTTGTAAACTTAACTGACAATGTTTCCTTCATCCTTTTTTTTAATGGAAAAAAAGGACCAAGTTTAAGTGGCCTTATTCTTTAGCTGATATCAGAGCTGTGTGAAGACCTTGCTTTCTTTCTAAATGTGTATTTCTTTTAAGTGGGGCCAGCTTGAACTTTTCCTGAAACTAAATTATACCATGCTAACTGATTGTATCCATTTTCACAAAATTAGGGCTGACACAGAACTGGCTGTAATCCCCTGCAGCTTTGTGTTATGAATTCTTGTATATTCCTCAAAAACTTCAAGCTAGTACTATGGGGCAAAAGCCACAAAGTATTTTTCAGGAGCCCACAGTGAGTTTGACAGAGGCATTGGAAATAGTATTATTGTTGATGTTTTCTGAGTCAAATTCTGTGCACTAAAATTTTCAAGCAATATTGAGAATGACCTTGTAAGAAAAATAATCTCTGATACCAGGGTAAGACTGGATTTTGAGTTGTTCTCTATGTTTAACTAGCTTTTTAAATAATGTGGATTTCCCTTAATATTTATGTGAAATATCTGTAAATGCACCTGACACAGTGCAACTGCTTTTGTTAAATCTTCCAGATTTTCTGGTAGAAGGATGTGTTAAAATCATATGTATTCTTTCATTGAAGTAAAATCCCCTTTTCTAATCAGCTTGAAATTCTATTTCATTACTTAAGGCTGTAGTGAAAAAGTAATTGTGTAATTCCTGAAATTTTCACAAAAATTCAGTTCTGCTGGTGTGTATGCCAGTATTGCTATGCTGCTATCCAGAATAATACCAAAATAATTTTGAAGTTACTCAGCAGGGTTTTAAGAGGAAGAAACCCTATTTGGCTGCATTAGTAGTTTCCCTGGACTACATTTGTCTTCATTATTATGGCTTTGAATGCCAGTGAATATTTCATCTTTCTTCAAATTAAAAAGTTAAAATTTCCTCTGCAAAATCAAATTGAGAATGTGTGCCTTTAATAGCAGTCTAAGCTGAGTAATGATACCATGATTCTCTTAACCCCCTAAAGTTGTACCTGCAACAAACTTTTTAAACAATGTATTTTAAAGCAATGAAATGGTAGAATTGTTTTTGTTGCATTTTAAATAATTTGAGTCTTAAAATTTTGATGGAAATCTTCCTCTTACTCTCAATACCTTGTCCTCAAATCTGTATGGTATCGTATTTAATGAGACTCTTGCCAGATATTTAGAAGCTGTACTGGAGTGGCCACAGAAATGGTGTCTCCTTGCTTTTCTCCATCATCATGCTCCAGTGACTTGCTGCAAGATCTGGTCCTGCCTTCTCTGCCTTGAGTGAGCAAGTTACAGTATCCTGCTGCTGAGATGAACTCTCTGAAATCAGTAGGACTTTCTGGTAATCCATCTGCATTTCATTTGAGTTGCCAAGCACAAGATGACTATTCTCGCCTCTCTCCAGCTGGGGATAGGAAATCAGTTGCAAAGATGAAGGTACAGGTGGACAAATACCTGTGTGTGACAAAGCTCCAGGATCCACATTTTCCTATGTGGAAACACAGGTGATGGGAACACGTGTAGCATCTTGCAGGCTTGTTGAGAACAGAGCAGCAAGGGAAGGGAAGAGAAAGGTTGTGAGGTATGTCTACCTTAAAAAGTGGAACTATGAGAAGAGGGGAAGAAGGACACAAGAAGGTTTCAACTTAACGGAATACCCAGCTGGGATTCAAGGCACCTGAAGATGACTTCAATGTAAATCACAGCTCCTAACTGCTTTACTAGTGCTGCTTTATATGGATTAATAGGAGTCCTAAAAAAGAAACTGAAGGAGGTCTCTGCCTTGATGTACCCTCCGCACCTTCCCTAGTGTCTTTCATGATCCAGCTTTTTTTTAATTTTTTTTTCCCTCTGGGAAAAGCAGATGCTTTTACAGCCTTAGTTTCCTGATTGCCACTTTGGAAAAAGCTTTATTTTGCTCAGCATGTTTTGCTTTCTAGATGTCTTACTGTGGCACTTAGTTTCCTCAGACATTGAATTAGCTGCTAAATGCTTCATGTGTATGTAATGTCTCCTGAACTGTTTGGGTTTTCTGCAGTCTGCGTGTTTTTCAAGAATGAGTGTATTAATAAGAGGCCAGGTGGGTAATTTCAAAAGGGGAAAGAATTAATACTGCCACCATAAGTGCTGACTGCTCTGAAAAGATGGGAAGGACTGCAGTGCCTCCCTAACTGACTTGGATCATGGCTGAGGTGGATGCTAAGCAAGGGACTTTTTATTGATGAAATCCTCTTCAGTTTTAAGGCCACACCCTAGCCTGAATGCAAGGGGCCTGTTAAAGAAACTTGAAGAAACCTGTAAGGCTGGATGGGAACTTTGAGGCTGAAGCAGGAAAGTGTGAGAACAGCTCTTAACGTGTTCAGTGGTATCACGAGGTGTCAGTGGCTCCTGATGCTCTACAAGGGATGTAAGTGATGTTGCTTCTCAGCCTCTGAGCACCAGGCCAGCAGGGCACAAAATCCTGAGCTTCAGCCACACCCTGCTCCTGGCTCCCTGGGGGCTGAAAAAGTGACCGATGGCAAGAGAGAACATGCTCTACTTGAGATGCTTCTTTGCATTTCTCATAGCATTAAAGCCACTTTTAGCTCCTCCTTGCTGCCTCTGTTGTTATCCCTTTCAAGGTTACGAAGATCTAAGGCATCCTTCATAGACTCAGGTTGAAACAGATTCCTCAGACATCATTTCCTGTGCTTAACTGTCCATCTAGGTGGGTTGGCTCATGTGCTGTCCCCATCTTCTTAGCTGAAAACAATTACTTTTTAGCAAGTTAAACATGGATGACTGTCTATTTAGGAATCTTTTTACATTCTTCCTAGCCCTATGTTCTCCTCTCCAGAACACTCAAACCAGTTCCTTTAATCTTGTATTTCAGTTGCTATAATCTCTAAATCTGTAATCACCTGTTGACTCAGAAAGCTCTGCTCCTTTCTGAGGGTGTTGTCCATAACGTGATATAGGCTCAGGCTCATGCAAAGACATGAAGAAAGGTGTTCCAGATTGAGGAGGAATCATAACTCCTCTTTGTGCTTGAGGGATGGCAGTGGAAAAGAGTGCTATCTTCTGTGGAACATAGCTTGCAAATGTTTTTGCCTACCAAATACTACATCAGTCTTCTCTAATGATCCTTTCCAGCATTGAATGTGTAGCATTTTTTGTATCAGTACAGTCTCAAGTTCCCAGGTCTTTGTACCCCATTGAAAAACTTGGTGGATTTCTTCATTTATGTCTTAGTTCTCATAGATGCCTCAAAAGGACCTAACCCACCATGTATATAACTACACCTTGTGTTAAGTTTTGTAGTATATTAATAAAATGAGCATCATCTGTTTATTGTCATTTGAAGTATGCAGGTATGAAAACTCTTGTTTCAGGTAATTAGAATATATAGGGAGAGAGGCAGGGATCAGCAGAGAGCACTGTAATAGTAGATCTACATTGTCTTCTGTGTAAAATGCATGGAAATCACTCCAGCCTCTGGGAAGTTTCTGATCCCTGGACGCAGCCAAAGCAGCTGCTTAATTCTCTTTCTCCTCCTGATCTTGCAATCAATGAACAGGAAAAAAACAAAACAAAAGCCAAAACAGCAAACTACTGAGTTTAAATAATATTTTATTTCAGGTGTCAAAAATTGTATTATCCCAAGTATGGTCTCAGTAGAGAGTATGATACTGTTCTGTCAGGACTTTGTGCCATTTAGTCATCTCCCATCCATGCTGCCAATCAGTCCTGTGGCACAGCCTGAGGAGCCTGTGGGTTTATTTTCACTGCTGAAACAACCCGGGCTCACAACTCTCTCTTCAGGGTCTTCCACAGTGATACGTTCTCCCTATCCAAGTTTTCACAGAGAAGGTGTTGAAACCTCTTGTGGCAGTGCCTTACTGGCATGCTGAGCACCCTTCCCCACAGACAGTAGATTTTTCTGTGGTCCCAAGATAATAATTTGGTCAGGCCAATGGAGATGGACCATGGAGATGGTCAAATGTGGAGTAAAGTTCCAATTAGCAGATAATGGACTTCATTGTTCCTGAACTGATGTTCCTAAAATAACCCACATAAGGCTGTGAAATACCACAACACAGAAGATTTTGTTTCCTTCTTCCTGACTTACACATCCAATAAAGAGTGACAGTTCAGAATCTGGTCACCATCTTTCCTGGGAATATGACTGATTACTAGGAAATGAATTCTTCAAAGTAACTTTGAAAGCCTCAGCCAAATTGTCCCAAGTTTCTAAAAGCTGGCTGTTAGTATGGAAGAAGTTAAAGGATTGCAAACCCTTCCAAATTCCCTGGATTTCAGTGGGAGTACTTACTGCTGGAGCCGGGATTTCAGTGTTTGTAAAATGCATTTAAGAGAATAATAAAAAAGAAAGTATGCAGAATACTAATTAACTGACCTTTTAGAAAATCATAGTATTTCTCATCAGCGTGTATGAACTGCAATAGTTATAACCACCCTGATGATAAAAACCCTAACATTTATGCAGTTCTCTGACTAATTTCCCCCAGCACAAGCAAACAAAATTCAATTGAAGGTTACTACAATATTAACAAATATCTAACCAACAAATCTCAATGGCTGTAGTCTTCTCACATTAGTTGTGGAAACCTTTTACATAACTTGCATAATTTAAATATTTACAAAATATAAACTTTCTTGTCTTATCAAAAATAGTTATTTTGCACAATTAAACAACAGTAATCTTTTCACATGATGCTTTTTAAGCCAGGCATTAAATCACTGCATAAAAATAAACAACCTATCACAGATGTAAAATAAAATTAAGCCAACATATGGAGACAGCGAAAGTGTTATCATTAACAGTTTAAATATTTTAGTGGTGTGAGCCAATCCATAAATTATATTGTGCATTGAACTTATTGAAGATGCAACCTAATGAAAAATTCTAGCTGCCGATTCTATAAAGAAAATCTATTTTAGAAAATCCTTTGCTTTATGGCAGATTCCTTTGGGGTAAATCTCATGTGGTTAATTTCTATAAAGATGGTGAACCACCAGTGAGATGGTTGAATGTGGCAGATTATTGCATAGACTTCAAGAGTGGGTGACAACCAGCTGTAGTATGCTGGTTGTAGTGTGCTATGTTAGTTTGTTCAATTACAGCTGATTCGCGAAATGTGTGCTCAGATACTCAGGAAATGCCTGCAGAGGGTTTTATTTCCTTCAAACATCAAACTATATTTCTGTCCCCTCTCAGGCCTGTCCCTTGTGTATTTGAAGGACAACCTTTTAAAAATCCTGAGGTTGCTGTTTGGTACCCCATTCACATTCACCAGTCTGTGCTCGTGCCTCTCTCCTCTGGGCACAGCTTGACCCTCCTTTTCCAGGCAGGCACTGCTGAGCTCTCTGCAGTCACACACGGTCCTCACTTCCCAGTGCTTTTCTGCACATTTTGCAGGAGGCAGTTTTGTGAACGGCTGCAAAGCAAATGCTTCGTGCTCAACAGCTGAACTCTTTCTCTATCAAAGTGGGTCTTTCTGAAGTCTGCAGAAATGATCTGTCTAGTCCCAGTTTTAAAAGCACAGACATAAGGACTATGTCTAATGTGTTTTACAAACTCTCTTGAGTCTTCAATCTCTGGCTAATGAGATCTTGAGATTTCTCCACTGTGCCCACCCACCACACACGGATCTTCAGGACATTGTGTCTATTAAATACTTGAAAAGTTTAGCATCTGTCTCTGCTCATGGAGTAACACGTTCAAATGTGTCATCAGGAGTCCTTTTTGCTGTTTAAGCTGTCCCTGCACGCAGCCTGATGTTTACTCAGCTGTCCTTTCAGTCGAGGCTCACTTGGACTGCCTGTGGTGCGGCAGTACCTGTTCCCCTGAGGCCGATCCCTCTGAAATCCCGCACGGTGACAGTGGCTGCTGCCCCCGTGGCAGGAGCTGTGTGCAGCACGCAGGCTGGCTGCTCCGGCTGTGTTTCCTGCTCTTCAGCTCACTTGCAGGTGTGCACGTCGGTCATGGTCTCGCACCTCCTGCAGCGCACGTAGCAGCACCAGACGAACTTGCACTCGCAGCGCTCCACGTGCCGCACGACGTGCGTGTTGTACCCGCGCCCGCAGCACAGCAGGTTGCAGCCCTCGGGGCCCTGCGACGTGCGGTTGCACTCCCTGCCCTGAGTGCCAGGGATCCCCAGTTTTTGGTCTTCCACGCAGTAATTGGGCGATTTGTTCACATACAGCAGGTCCTCCTTCCCAATTGGTATTTTTCTCTGGCTTTTCTCTTTCCTGCGTAGCTTTTTTTTCAGTCTGTCCGATATTTGTATGCTGTTTTCGTACTTCTCCTTTAAAAACCGGCCAATCTTTTCAAAGGATGACATGGTTTTCCAACAAGTTTTCACAGCACAGGACCCAGAAACACCATGACAACGGCAATCCACAGACATCAGCTTTGCTACAGCCTGAAAGCAAAGGGAGAACAACATTTGGATGTGCTCTTTCATTCATCAGGAATGCTGCCTGACAAATGTCTCAAAGTATTTAATATTACAGCTGCCACTGCCATTTCCACAACAGGAAAGTCAGAGCATGTGTTAGGAACCAGGTTTCCAGCCCTGGACCCCCACTATGACAGGCACGATCTTCAGACTTGCTTTTCATTTGCAGTTTGCAATGGCCATAATGTAGCAATATTGATCACAACAGTGATTTCTGGATGGCTTTTCATTCTGGAGGATCCTAAACACCTCAATGACGTGTCCTGTGTTGCTCCTCCCACTGCTGGAATGCAAAAGGCTCTCATGGGCAAAAGGGTCTAGTGGGGAACAGAAGAGGAAAGCAAGGATAAGGCAGGTCATGGCACCCTTCCTATTTTGGAAGACACTGACTGGGCAAGTAAGTGTCCTGTTATGTTGCCTTTTAAGAGTACTTTAAGTGCCTTCTAAGGGTACTTTACAGCTACTGTGAAGACCACTAAATATTGACAACCCTGTGTGTACCTAAGGCCACAGGAATGGCTGGAGTCACACAACAGAGCCAGTGTGGCTCAGCACCCAAAGCAGCACGGGAGAAGGCACCTCTGGGCAAACTGCTGGAAGAGCAGGAGGATGCCCACAGCTCCAGGCTTCACAGAAAGTCTGTCAAAAGACCCACCATGGCTTAGCAGAGGTGTCTTCGGCTCAGGTAATCTGTAGCAAATCTCAGGTGCTTCTCACTTATAGTCTTAAGGCCTGTTCTTTTAATTTAGACATAACTAGTTCTAGTATGAATTCCTAGTGTTTCCATTTTCATAATGGCTCCATTTAACACAACTATGCAGTTGCATTCATATTACTTTTATAACTGTCAGCGTTTAAGCAAGGTTTCACAGTTATTGCCAACACTTAAATTAAATTCTTGCCAACAAAAAATACTTAAATACTTAGATGAGTTACTTTTCCATCCCCGTGCAGAAGCAAGGGCTGGGCTGAACAGTAACTGTCTGACCAACAATGTGAATCTGAAGCCTGTGTTAAGCTTTTTGTAACACATAACAATTTTGGCTCAGTTTGTAGGATATCAAGCCTCAAACAACTGGAATCTGTAAACAAGCAGTAACTTCCTTTATTTTGAGACTGACTCAAACACACAGGAGACAATCAATACAATACCTCCTTCCTTAACATCATACAAAATCATACAATTAGTCTTGTGACAACCCTCTAATGACAAATACTAGAGTTTGTAAAAGGCACGGAAAAATCACACATGTGCAGATGTAGTACCAGATATCATAATTTTTGGTTTGTTTTACGTTTGCATTAACATCTTCTGGAGCCATCCTGTAGACTCATAAGGGCCATTGGTTAGTAGTGTGGAAAGCATATGTTGCTATCTTCCATTTTACTAACCTTTCCCCCCATATTTAATTTACACAATCAAAGCAATTGGGAAATTTACCAGTAAGTGTGGATTTTAAATTAATTTACAGTAAGTTTGTTTTGAAACTCCCCATGCATCAAGGCCAATGCATATTGAAATTAATCCTCTTTGAAGGAACCAGTTTTACCAAAACATGGGGGGGAAAAAAGAAATCAACACCCCAACTACATGATGTTTATTACATTTCATCCTGAGCCTTTGCTTGTCCCTCAGCCTCCACATATACTATAGACTAGCTGCTGTCAGTCTATGTCTTTCTGAAACTGAATTAAACAAACAGAAAATCTAACATCCTCCTCTGGCTGCCCCTGAGACAGTAGTTTCATTTGTGCCAGTTCCTAAGCCTTGATTCTGCAGTGAGATGTGATACCTGAAATGCTACCAACCCCCCTGGGCTTCTGCAGGACCAGAAAAACCTCAAGCCCCAGACTCATTTTGGTAGCTCAGTCAGCACAAATGCCATCTTCAAAATTCCAAAATTCCAAGGCATACAGTAAATTAAATGAGCTATTTCTATTCTATGTGTTAAAGACTTTTCATCATGGCCTGTGGTCACTGAAGTTTGGGATGAGTCCAGCATGGTCACTCCACTGGTTTCACTGGGCATTGAGGCCCCCTGGCACATTCTGCCCCAAAGGTGTTGACTCAGTCTTGAGCTGGCATTTGCATAAAACTACAAACATTAAAAAAAAAAAAACACATGACCAAAGTGTTTGCTTGGAATCACATCTTTGGTGAATAAACAGGAACGATTTGTAGGTGGAGGTTAGTATGGAAGCCAAATATGCAAGACATTCACAAAAAACATTAGCAAGGAAGAGCAGGCATGTGCCCTTGACCTAGAACAGCTTTTACAAACTAAACCTGGCAAAGAGGCAATCCTGTACAGGAAATACTTCCACATGCTGTGGGCTGCTTTTGCAATGGGAGATTTTTCTCCACTACTGGAAAAAAATAACAATATTGCAACAAGCAAACTCTCACCCATGAGCACACACAGACTCTTTTAGTGGTAAATCAATTCTAGATGGTACATACTTACCATCTCTTCTACATAGACTAGTTTCTGTTTAATAGACACACTTGACCTTGCTCATATCTCAAGAATCTGTCAACAATGAAATCACTGGGTAGTCAGAATATGATTCATTAAGATGTAAGAGTGATTGGGGCAGATGAGAATTTAAAATACAAGGACAAAAAGTCTGTCAGAAGACAGATGACCTAATAAAATGTGAATATCAAACACAATATCAAAAGATAAATTTTACATGCTACTTAAAAATAGAAAGGATTTAATAAAATTTAAAATTTTTCCAATTTTGAATGATAAGTTATTTTTGTCAAGTAACTAGAATTTCAAAGTAGTTTTAAATCATATTGTGCTAGTAGATTTGAAATGTTACAAATGTAATCTTCATTTTCACTGCAGTACAATAAGGTACTCACTATGGTCAGAAGGACTCAGAAATTGTCAGAGGAAGCTCTGGACATGCCTGCTAGGTTCTAAGGGCCATGCAGGCAAATAGCCCAGCAGATGACACTCAGAGTCTTTCATTAAACAAAAGTAGAGGGAGACAGAGTTTCGAAACAGGAGCAGAAACTGATGTTTAACTCTTAGACTGATATCAGAATATAAAAATGTGGCATACATTAGCAGTGTATGAATGAATAGATGAATGAAAGAAACACAAATGTGATTCAGTATCTAGCTAACCAGCTGCTATAATGGGCAAATTTTAAGGCTGGACTCCAATATACTTTAAGTTGCCAGCACAGGGAGGTGACATTTTGCTTTGCCTGATCACAGAACATGCTACTGCATCTCAGTCTGTCATTTGAACTTCAATGAAAAATCTCCCATAATTGAACATCTGGCAATATTTAGGCATTAGGCATCTCCTGATGGTGCAAGCAAACCTAAGATTGTACCTATGGAGCCAACATGGCCTTGAGGTGGGACACAGCTGCAGCACACACCTGTGTCTCAGCAGTGCACAGTGACTGCACAGTTACTGGGACCACGACCTCCAGACTGACTACACAACCAGTGTTCTGTTCCACATTTTAGGTTCATATCGTGAATCTGTTCAGCTATTCATGAAATAGTGAGAGGATTCTCCATATGAAACAAAGCTCCATGGAGAGCTTCAGAGGAGCACTGTCACAGACACCTGGTGGATGGATGTGTCATTCTGAGCAAGCTGGGACAGGCTTTCCTAGGGGGGTTATGGAACTGACTGATAGCTTGTGAGAAATGAGCAGGGTGGTGACTGAGCTGGGCCCACCAGCATTGTGGTCAGCCACAGACCCATCTGAGCAGCTCCTCCTGCCCCTATTGCCACTCAGCCTTGGTGGTACAACACGCACAACAAGAGTGGAGGGCTAAGTGATGAACAGGGATGAACACTGCTGTTTTTTTTAAATCAAAACTGAGAAAAAGATCATTTTTTAACTGTCTTCCCTTCATTGATCCAGTGCAATTAACAGAGGGAGCAGAACGGGGTGGGAATCTCTGGCTAGAACAGACAGATGGGGCAGAAAGCAGAGATCGATTTGCAGCAAAGAGTGTCAATGGAATCACACTTTGCATACCCTCTAATGCCAGTTAATGCTTAACACATCCAGGCTGAGCTTTCTGTTTGCAGACACTGCTCTCAGCTGTGAGACAAGGACTGCCAGTCCTTGTTTTGTCACAGGAACCAATGCCTGTAATCAAATGTCCCAGTTTCAGACACTGGTAGACCTGATATGATTATTCATGAAGACAAGCACATGTCCTACCAGAGGTGCATCACTTAAGAACAGTTCCAAACTTGGTGAGTCTCTTACCAATCCACAAGCATCAGTAAAAACAAACTCTCCAAACAAGTCCCATATCAAATAAATTTCCACAAGTGGAGAAGTGAGCAGAATTTTTCCAGCAGTGAAATAATCCTAATACAATGATAGTGAACCCATAGTGCCTGACTCCCCACATCCTTTTGTTCAAGGAGCAGAAGAGCCCAGCTCACATATGCACACCTAGGCGCGCTGAAAATTGCTGTGCTGAAGGATGATGAATGTTTATCTTGTAGCAGAATAAGGATGCAATCTGAACCTTCTGAGAGTTGGATTAGTGGACAATTCAAAAGACACACAGTTTTAAAATTTTTATATGTTGACATGATAACTATGAGATGTGGAAGTATAAAATAACATTCTGTACTGAAATAAGAGAGAAATAAGAGAATTCTGCACATACCAGTTCTCTTACTAACTCCAAACAAACACAGAAGTACTGTCCCTGGAATACTGCTGTTGCAAGACACCAAACTAGGAACATGATAGGATTTATTACAAAAGGTCATAAGATATCAAAACATCCTTCTTGTAAGCCCCAAAACATGAAGGCCAACATTTTCCAGCAACTCCTAGTTAAGACTTGAAAATACAAAAATGAAGAGTTATGCTAAACTTCAGATAATATTGCTGCTAGAAATCCCAAGTACCAACAACAAACATTCTTTTTATTCTGGACAGTGATCAAAATATTTGCTTTATCCTACATTTTGCCATTAAATTACAAAATATTTATGCATGGAAGTTGACTATATATATTTCTTCCTTAATTATCTCACTCTACAAATATGATAAACAGCTCTTTGCTCTTTCCTTAAGGAAATATTGTGTTCCTCTTATTAACATCTCTTCCTACAAGATATCAATCACCTTTCCTTGGAGGTGATTTAGCTGACTGACATCTAATTAAACTCATAGCTTTTAGATCTCATCTTTTACTTAGGTTTAAAGTTTGCTTCAACTACTTCAGTTACAAAAAAGGGTCTCTGTCACCTGGAATCATGTAATGGTTTTGGTTGGAAGGAACCTGAAAGATTTTCTGCTTTTCCAACAACATATTTCATTAAATGAAATAACACATATTACCCGTAAAAATTACTTCAAATAAAGTAATTTTCAATTATACCACCATGGCTCTTATGATGGCTTACTATGGCTATTCCCTGTCTATGGCAGATGGGAAAGTTGATTACAGTAATACACTGTAATACAACAATTACAGTGGATACACTGATGCTGCTTCCAGCTACAGGAAATTTAAGAGTCACGATGGGGTCCATCAATATGTGTAGTCAAAACCAGAAGTTTTCCCTTTCTTTTTTTCCCTTTAGTTAAAGCTGTGTCACTGAGCAGAAGAGATTTAAAGTATTATGGGCCCAGAGAGAGCTGTAAAAGATGAAATCTCCAAGGTAAAGAAGAGAAAGTAATTTTAAAGTAAAACTAATACAAATCTCTGTCATTCCAGATGAAAGCACTAGATTACAGGCTCACATTCCCCTGCATAGGCTATTGCTGCCCCCATTTTACATCCTCTGCTGGACAGGAAGGAAAATCCAATGTCACACACCCAAACACACCATTTTCCTCTGCAAGCCTGGGTTGGAAGTTCTTTGGACTGAAAAAAGCCATCCAAAATCAGTCTCCTTTCACTTCTTTGATGCATGTCCTAACCAATGAGCTACTTTGAAGGTGTCATTTCTATTCCATGTTTTTAAAGAAAATATTAACTCTTGATTTCTCCTCTGAACAATGTTAAGCTTGCACTCTCAGGTGTGGACTGCAGACTGCAAGATGAGTAATGAGGCCCTGTGTCCAGCTGGCCTTCTCATTCACTATTAGAGAGAATTATAAATGCAGGTCATGATAATAACAGAATAATCAGTGACAAAAATCATATAATAATATGATGATAACAGGCCTATTTCAAGTTTGTAGGTGAATATCAAATATCTAATTAAGAGAAATTTACTATTTAAGTACTACAGATCTATTACTTATTTTGTGGATTTTATTTTAACATACAGAAGTTAGTTGGTTAAGACCAGCTCTGGTTCTGAGTTTCTACACGTTTCTTTGGTGATGTTACTGCTGCTCTTGCCACTGCCCCACGAACACCTGCAGCCAAGGCCCCACCTCCTGTGGCTGGTGTCACTTTGCCAACGACGGTGATGGAGCGGCTGCTGCCACACCTGGGTGTCACCCACCTGCCTGCCGGCCTCGTTGTTGTGCAGGTCCATGGCCACCAGCCCGCTCCTGCCCGTCGCGTTCCTCAGAGGCGCGTCCAGGAACGTCCTGCTGAAGGACATTCCGTAGTGGATGTCGTCCGAGCAGCCGCCCCAGTGCCACCCCTCGCTGGCGGAGCCGCCGTGCCGCAGGGTGACATCGCAGGAGCACTCGGTCACGTTCCCGGCGCTGCAGGAGCGCGTCACCGAGTGCACCAGCCCTGCCGCCGTCACCGCCGACACGAACGCCGTCTCCTTGGTGCCTGCACAGCGAGGCAGGGACACGTTACCCCAGAACCGCCTCCGGGCACCCGCCCGGCGCCCACACCCACAACAGAGATCCACAAACCCCAAACTGACCCCTCGCCCCATAATGGGACCACCAAACCCCAAACCGCCACCAAACCCCACACCGGGACCCCAAACTGACCCCAAACCCCACACGGGCTGCAGAAAGGGACTTTACAAGCCAGATGATTATTAAAAGTTAGTAACAGTCACAAGTTTAAAGTCATCACAGCTTGGTCTGTTGTGTGGACTTGCTCAAAGCAGTGGATGTTCATACCCCAAAATACTTCAGGACCTCTTCATATGGCCATGCTGTCAATAATGCTGTTTCTCAGTACTGGTACTGTCACAGACATTTTTTATGAAAAATCCTTTCCTTGGGATTTTTCCTCCTGAGAAGCTGAGAGGCCTCAGGAACAACATGTAAATATTGATTATCTGCTGCTGTGGAATGCAACAGATGCATCTGTGATTGGCCCATGTTGGTTGTTTTTGATTAATGGCCAATCACAGTCAGCTGGCTCAGACTCTCTGTCCGAGCCACAAGCCTTTGTCATCATTATTTCTTTTCAATTCTTAGCTAGCCTTCTGATGAAATCCTTTCTTCTATTCTTTTAGTATAGTTTTTTTTTAATATAATATATATCATAAAATAATAAATCAAGCCTTCTGAAACATGGAGTCAGAGCCTCGTCTCTTCCCTCATCCTGGGACCCCTGGGAACATGGCCACATGGTATCATGCAATTTTTGGTAACTTCTTTCTAAATTTGATTAGGAATTTTATTTGCCACAGAAATTTTCAAGCCAAGTAATAAATGAAGAATCAAACTCCAAATGAACCACATTCCAAACCCCTTACTCTCCACTCTGCTTTTCACTGTTCATACTGATTTGAAGAAGAAAAGGTCAGTCTAAATCTCAGAGAAGCTGTCATGATCCCAGGTTACTTTGGTACAGGGCCAAAACTTACCTCATGCTAAATTTAGCAAACATTGATGTTCTTCTAATTCACAAAGGTTGCAAAGAGTCCCAAAAGTCTTAAACGAGGCAGAAATCAGCACAAAGATATTTTGGCCATGTGCTTTTCCTATAAAAGCTGGCCATGGGAAAGACAGAAGCATGAAAGGCCTTTACTTGTTAGACTGGCTCCTTAGGCCTGCCCCATTCTCTGAAACTTCTGGCATGATGTGGCACCCAGCCACATTTAACACATTACTGTGCAAGGCATACTCTAAGCAAATTGAATAACATTGAGTGGTCAATAAATGTAGCTGAAATTTTACTGAAATGGGCCAATTTTTACTGTTGTGAAAATTATTTATTTCCAGTCTCCAATGTTTCTGCTCATGACCAGGAAAATTCCTGTTTGTTTCTCCTGTTTGTATTAGTCTGTGGTGCTGGTACCATCATAAAGGCTTCCACAGTGCACACTAGTGAAGCTGTGTGGGTGAGCAGTGGCACTCATTTATGGGTCCTCCAGAACAGTCCTCCCTGTTGAACACACATGGCTCCATACAGTGGGGGAAACTCCCATTTTCTTTTCTTCCCCTTTCCTTTTTGAAATATGCATCACTTTTTCCTCACTTTATGTTTTCATGGTTAAAACTTGGGGGGTTTTACTCTGCTTTAGTACAAAGATTGCATGAACACAAAGTGAAGTACTACAAAACTTGAAATCACATCCATCACACAATCAGTGACTAGGGAGCTAAAAAAAAAAAAAAAAAGTTGCAGGATCCTTGCAACTTGCAGGAAAGTCTTGGTGTGACATTTGATACAAAAATCCTCATCCTTGTTTTAGTGGAAATTCTAGCAATGTCATAATTATTTTAAGCAAAAAAAAAGCACCTTTGGTCTCACTGTGCTGATAATTATTATATATTATATATATAATAATAATATATTATATATACATGTTTTATATATATTATATATAAAATAATATATTATATATAATAATAATAATATATTATTATATATTATATATTATATATTTTAAAGCATTTCACATTGTATCTGCCCTGAGCAGACATTTTTACCTGCAAGTGATCTTTCTTAAATGATATGTCATAAGCCCGCTTATTTAGTAACTACGACACAAGGGGATAAACCCAACATAAGTCTGAGAACAACACTATTTCAATACAGTTGAGTGGATCTACCCACGGGCAGTGCCATCCACGAACGTACTACGCGAAAACTACAAGAAGCTACAACAGCGCTGCAAAGAGAAGCGCAGGTTTGTTCTGCTCGCTGCATTTCGTGTGCCCGCGGTACCTCCGGGACGGCGGCGGGCCCCTCCCTGCCCGGCTGTGCCCGGCCCAGCCGACGGACGCACGGACGGTCCCCGCGTCCCATTCCCGGGGGCAGCCCGGTCCCGGTCCCGGCCCCGCCGAGCGCAGCGCTCCCTGTGGCGCTCCCCGGGGCGGTGGTCTGTCCCTCGGTCGCTCACTCACCGCTGCTGAGCTGCTGCCCGGTGCCGGCGGTGCCGGCGGTGCCGCGGCGGGCGGCGGGCGGCGAGCGGCAGTCCCAGCGCTCGTGTCGGAATTGGCTGCGGCACTCCTGCAGCCCCAGGCGCGCTCCCTCCCGGACCGCGGGCATCAGCTCCGGCTTCTGCTCGCACAGCTCCTGCTGCCGGCGGCTCAGCGGAGGGCTGGCGCAGCCCGGCCTCTCGGGCCCGCCGGCGGCCGCGATGCCCAGCCACCTGCGGAGGCAGCGGCCCGTCAGCGCCGGCCCCGACGGACTCGGGGGGACGGGCTCGGCGCAGCCTCCCACCCTGACCCCGGCTACTCACATCCAGGTGCTGCCGGCGGCGGGGCACAGGGCGAGCAGCAGCGCCGCCCGCAGCAGGCTCGGTGCGAGCGGAGCCCCGCGCCCCATGGCAGCCGCATCCAGCCCCGCCGCGCCGCCGCCCCTGCCCGCGGCCAGCACGGACCCAGGGGGACCGTACCAGAGGCACCCCTACTCGGGCTCGGCCCCCTCCAGGGACAGGGGACAGCTGGCGCGGAGAGCCCGGCCCGTCGGACGGCCCTGCCGGGGAGGCTGGGCTGGCAGGGAGGGCGGCGGGAGGGGACACATTCGGGAGCGCTCGGTTCCCGTCAAGGTGAGAAAGTTGGGATTGATGTTTTCCCCGGCTGCTTCCCCGGCTGTGCCTCCCCGCCCGTGCATTGGCCGCCCGGGGGCCGGGGCGGGCCGGGGCGGGCCGGGGCGGGCCGGGCGGGGGCGCGGCGGGGGCTCCGCTGCACAAAGCGCCGATCCGCACGGCTCCGCACAGATCCGCACTGCTGCACAAAGCGCGGCCCGCACGGCCGCGCCTCCGCGGTGCTGCCTCTTGAGCCGTGAGGGCCCAGAGCGGCTGCGAGGGCGCAGCGGGGTCCGGGCACGGCAGAGCGGAGCTGAGGCAAAGGAACCCCCGTAGGTCTGCACCGATTTAATCCACAGAAATGAGAGAGATGTTAACCCATCATAACATTCCCTACACTTTTTATTCCAATTTTCCTATGCTTTAGCAGTGTTAAGTGAGTCAGTATTCATTAGGACAGCATTTGTTCACTCCTGTTAACTCCAGTGAGACAATCTTATCAACTTCTACCTCGATTGCTAGTCCTCAGTTACACATTAAAAGCCAATGAGTCAGCTAGCACCTGATGGAGAGCTGCTCTTGGCACTCTGGACCTTTCGAGTCCTCTTTGATCACAATATATTGCTGCTTCCTTCTGTGTAAGCAAAACACCTGCACTAAAAATAATCTGAATAAAATGACAGATCTGTAAAACTTTGATTTGACACAGTTGTAAATTAGCGAAATAGCTCTTGTGGACTGACAATAGCTCCAAGTGAAGAACACAATAAATCATCTCAATGACAAATGAACTCTTTTATGAGTACAACATCTTGGGAAATAATCACGTAGATGTGCTGTTTTCCCTTGCCTTTTTTCCCCATGAACGTGCAGAGATGTTTTAAGAGCACAGTCTGTGGTCTATAGATCTAGAAAATGATGCCTCCTTCCCACTTCATGCTTATGTATCTTCTCTCAAAGTGTCTCCAAAGCATCATCAGCTCTGGGCAGATTGCTCATGACCCCACTAGTTATTTAAACCTTTCAATATAACTTATTTTCTCTGTTCTGAATTTTACTCTAGAGAACATCTGCTTGTGGTTGCAGAGGAACTTAGACCAGAGTGAGGGACACTGGAAAACAGGGAACCAGCCATGAAACAGGCCTGAACCAGCCAAAATGCGTGGGCTGTGTCAGAGAATTATCTAATTATTCCAGGACACATGGTTCATTTTATCCTCTCTGCTGCTTCCTGGCTCCATCTTCTAAAGTTAATTCAGAGCCTTGGTCTAGCAGACGTGGATTCCTTATGGGCTGCTTTATCTCCTCTATGAATTTGTCAAACCCACTCTGAAATTATTTTTTCCTGCAGGTTCTTTAAAAAAGTTTCTTCTCTGTGGTTGTTTGTTTTTATTTTGTTGATGCTGGTTTTTTTTTTTAAATTTACTAAAATTATCATAGATCTTTTGGTTCTAAATTCTTGTGTGTGAATTTTTCTATAGTAGCTACAGAACTTTATACACAAATAGCAATGTAAGATTTAAATTTTAAAAATATTGATTTCAGAAAGTCCAATCCTATTTGTAGCATTTCATATATGGCCCCTTAAATGAATAAATTACCTTTCTGTTGGGTTCTCATGGGGATCTGATTTTATGTACATTTTTTGCCACAATTGTCTTTGCCTAGTTAGGGAAACCCTTTGATCGTGTTTCACTCTGCAGTGAAACATTTGCAATTTGGAGGGCTGATGCTAAACAAAAAGTAAAATATATTGTAAGTGAATTCTTGACATCATCCAGTTCAATATCTAGGAGTGACTGGAAACAAACTACATTTTTCCATGACCATCTGATTTAAAAAAGTTTGGGTTACAATGTGTTTGAATCCTAATCTCCCATCTGCTTTCCTTCCCATCTGTTTCCCTTGCAGCCTCTCCCCGTTTGCTGTCACAGCCGGGCTCCCAGCAGATCCCCATCCCCTGCCCTGCTGAGCTTTAGCCTCCTGCCTGCTCTTTGCACCGTCTCTGCTCTATTCCCTCAGCAGCACTCTCTTCCCAGGCAAGGGCAGCAGGTACAGCAGTGTTCCTGCAGTCTGGAGCCCTGTGTCTGCATGCAGGTCAGCTGGCTAACAAGAGCCTACAAGGGAAAACACTTTACCTTGCACATTATGTGCTTTGCAAATTGGCAAAGGGAAGCAATTTAGAAATGCCTCGCTGATCTACCAAAATTTATTGTAATTTGTCAAATGGTTCTGAAGGCTGAAATTCTAATTAGCTGATGCTTCAGAGGCCTCTTTGCTGGAAGACCATTCGCTCCATCACAGACAGCAACATAAGTGGGATGCAGAGACAGTGAAGCAGAATCCAAACCATGGTCAAGTGCCAAAATTCAGTGAGAAAACCTTACTATAAATCAATAATAAATATAAATAAATAAATATAAATCAATAATAAATATAAATATACTTTCTCTGGCCATGGTGGGGCTTTCTGTGGCCATTCATACTAAAATGCCCACATTTTTTATTTTAAAAAAGAAGAAAATCAAATGTCGATAAAAGGAAAAAATGCTTTGAAAGCTTTGTTCAAATTATTATTCTTCTCCTGGAGCTTCTGGTGCCCATCAGAGACATGAATAGAACAGAACAAACTGCTTTATCCTACCTGTGCATACAATGGGGTCATTACCCCCTTATCTTATAAAAATGAACAGAGGAAAATCTATATCAGGTTATATCTTCAGCTATGGAATTTATCACGTGTGGTGACCAAACTCAAAATCTGTACTTCTAACACAAAAAGCACGCTCCCAATCCCCCTCAGAGCTTGGCTGCACAATGTGCCACCACTCTGGGAATGGCAGATGTGCCAGGTCTTTGCTTTGAAAGAACATTGTTGGCAAGATAGTGCTACCCAAGCAGAGCCATCGCACCACAGGGGCAGTGAGAGTGCTGCCCCTCAGTGAGAAGGTATTCCTTATTTATTTTTAAACCAGACTCTCCTGAGGATGTAATACCACTGCTTTGTTGATGTATGTGTAAGCTTCATACAGAATTTCCTGAGATGAGCAGGATCAGGTACTCTGTGTGTGTGTGCTTATGCATAGTGTGCACAGAAGCAGCATGCTTGCTCCCAAAGAATTACTGAATTTCAGTAATACAGCTAGAGGAAGGAGGAAGAACTGCTCCCCTAGGAGCAGTGCTGCCTACAACACAGTTTATATTCCCACTGGAATTGATAATTTGCATTAACACTTTCCACAAGACCCTTTCACAGACGATTTGTTACATCTCCTTACAGAGACATGATTCACACACACAGAACTGTTGCCATCCTGTGATGAGAGAAGTGACAATCAGGGAGATATTTAATTTTCTGGTGTCAGGGGGTGCATCATCATCAAATCCATTATCAGCTCCTTGGTTTCTCACTGCTAATTCAATTTCTAATGATCTACTTATTGTTTGAGTGAGGATAATGATAGAAACAAGAATCTACTCTGTAACTCTGTCGTAATACAAAGATCAGTTTTTTATCTTCTCATTCATCAAGGTATGAACATGTGCTTAATTTGCAAAGCATTTGGTCCAGTGGTCAGACTATTTGTACTGACATGTGAATTTACCTACAAGGCCAGTTAAAACAGAGGAAGCTTAGGAAGAAATGTGGAAGAATGATATTGTGTCAACAAACATGGAAGTAGTCCCTTTCTACCCATGGTGTAGTGGCAATGGGAAGAAATGAATGGCCCACTTTTTGAAGTTAAGAGCCATTCTAGTCATAGGACAGCATTTAAAACATTCCAGATTCAAGTAATTAATTACACATTTCCCCCACCCCCAATTTCAATGATCTTTCCCATTTCAGTGTATGAATTTCATCTTTTGTGTCTCGGCGCTTTTCCTTTATGTCCCCAATAATCCTTATTGCACTTCTTGCCCCATTCCCACTTAGCACTTTTTGATTGATAAAATAAAAAAATATTAAAAAGTTACTGTGGATTATTCACAGTTACATTGTGAATAATCCAAGGTCCATATAAAATTATATCTTTTCACTGGTAATGAGCACATCTTAAAAATCAAGGTACAAGAAACTCCCTAGTAAGAAAGCAATCTGTCCCTTCATAAATGTTCACTTGAATATCAAATGGCTACAGGATGCCTTGCACTTGCAGGTTCTATAAGACTGTCAAAATTTTTGATTTGGTTAGATGACAAACATAAAATCCTTCTTTGAATCTGATTGAATCTTGCTAAATCAGTGTGAGATGTTACCTGTTTCCTGAGCCACGTCCTTATTTCCTCTCCTCAGAGATTGCCGCCTTCTCTTTTTCTAACAATTTTTTCTTTGACTGGGCCTGGCACTGGGCTATGTGAACCCACTTAAACCTTTTAACACTGTTGTCAAAGAAAGTCTTTCAGCTTTGGAAACCTTACCCTTCTTATATTCCTGCAGCTGTGATATTTCCCCACTGTTGCATAAGACAGGGTAGTTGTGGTTTAAAAAGTGTGCAGCCGTGGGCAAGATGCCAAAGTCTACAGGGTTTAGGCTATCCCCAACTAATTGAACTCTGCTAAACTGGCAAGTTATCAGAATAGCTGGGGTTTAACATCTCAGCAACCTTGTAATAGCATTGATCTAAATCATGCAAAAGTTAAGGCCATGGGGATAAAAGGAAATAGTTTAAATTGGTTTAAGATTTTTTTGTATTTTTTGTGCCTTTCCCACTGGTAGTTTCCTATTGTGCTTATAATTCTTTATTTGAAAACTTCCTTTTACCCCTGTGTTGTGAGATGTTTGAGCAGCTCAACAACT